AGGAAGCCAGAACCTATGTGGGTTTTGAGGGCAATCTCTTTAAGAAGCTTGAGTCCAAAAAGTAGACAGGTTTTCTGGTTCAGGATCACCAAAAAGTTACTAATAACTTTTCTTCCCAAGTGATTTAAGTTCTAGATAGTGATGTCTTTTTAAAGATTTTTCTCAACTGACAACCCTATTCCAGACCTCTTTACTTTGAAGAGTCTGAGCTCTATGAATTCTGCTTTTAGGAGAGTCCCTTTTCTCCCCAAGTGATTTAAGTTCTAGATAGTGATATCTTTTTGAAGATTTTTCTCAACTGACAACCCTATTCCAGATCTCTTTGCTTTGAAGAGTCTGAGCTCTATGAATTCTGCTTTTAGGAGAGTCCCCCTTCCTGAGTTCTGCTTCTCTCACAAGACAATAAATTACAGAAGAAGTCTTATGGACTGAGGCCCAAAATCTTTCCATCCTTGAAATATTTTTCATTACAGCAAAGCCCGTTAATGTATTAGTTCAGTTCAGTCACTCAGTCGTATCCAACTCTTTGCGACCCCATGGACTGCAGCACACCAGGCTTCCCTGTCAATCACTAGCTCCCAGAGCTTACTCAAACTCATGTCCATCCAGTCAGAGATGCCATCCAACCATCTCATCCTCTGTCATCCCCTTCTCCTCTGGCCTTCAATCATTCCCAGCATCAAGGTCTTTTCCAATGAGTCAGTTCTTCGCAGTTCTTGGCCAAAGTATTGGAGTTTCAGCTTCAGCATCAGTCCTTCCACTGAATTTTCAGGACTGATTTCCTTCAAGATTGACTGGTTTGATCTCCTTGCAGTACTCTCAAGAGTCTTCTCCAACACCACAGTTCAAAAGCATCAATTCTTTGGCACTCAGCTTTGTTTATAGTCCATCTCTCACATCCATACATGACTACTGGAAAAACTATAGCTTTGACTAGACAGACCTTTGTTGGCAAAGTAATTTCTCTACTTTCTAATATGCTGTCTAGCTACTACTGAAGCGACTTAGCAGCAGCAGCAGCTATGGTGGATATTAAGCTTCTAAAGCCCTTTCTTTTGAAGACTAATAATTCTAATTGACTATCTGCAGGGCTAATGTCTCCGACTTATGTTACATAAAATAGTAGTAGAGTAATGCTCTTAAACGGAGCTGTTATGCATTGACTAGCAGGGTGGAGGGCTCTTCTAGAGGTACATGCTTGTAGCTGTGAAGATCATCCCTTACAAACAGCTACCTATGCTCCTGCCAGAGAACAGGCTTGTTGTATACTAACAAGCTTTTTGAGTCTTAATCTGCCCTTGGCAAAGAAATGACCTGATAAAATAGGATTATCAACCAGAGAGGTCATCTGAAATATGAGATAATTAATAATGACCGTATCAATTCAGGTCAAACTGGGCAGTCAGTTGTGTAATACCCAGGCTAGTTTGCACTGGTTCTTTACAGATGAATAGTGCTAACTTTTAATGTATAATTTGTGTATATAAAATATTCTCTTGCTAGAAGACTGATGTAGCATTTTTTTTTTTTTTAACCAACGCTGAAGTCTTAATCTGGGCTTCCGTCACGGCTCACTGGTAAAGAATCTGCCTGCAGTGCAGGAGATGAGGGTTCAGTCTCTGGGTCAGGAAGATCCCTTGGGAAGGGAAATGGCAACCCACTCTGGTATTCTTGCCTGGGAAACCCCATGGACAAAGGAGCTTGATGGGCTATAGTCCGTGGGGTCGCAGAGTCAGACACAATTTAGCAGCTAAACAACAGTCTTAATAGAATGGCAGAGCACTCTTCATTGGTAAACAGGGATGTACTTAAATGCTTTTTTTAAAAAAATGCATGTTCCAGAAAGCAGAATGTAGTATAGTAGAGTAAGCACTAGAGTCTGATTATTAGCTATATTACCTTTGAGAAATTCTCTTAACCACTGTTAGTCTGTTTCCTCTGGAAAATGAGGGGGTTTAAATAAATGTGTGTTTCCCAAAATTCTGAAACCTACCACAGATTACTAGAGGTGACTTTAGGTGGCATGTGAAAGAATGTCGGGCAGTTTTCTGGGGAAAAAAAAAATTAAACATTGACTCACATAGCTGAGTTATTCCTTATTGAGTCTTTTAATAGAATCTAGGGACTTCCCTGGTGATCCAATGGTTAAGAATCTGCCTTGCAATGCAGAGTTACACAGGTCGATCCCTGGTCAGGGCACTAGGATCCCTTATGCTGCAGAGTAGCTAACCCCATGCACCACAACTGCTGAGCCTGCGTGCCACAGCTAGAGAGCTCACATGCCAACTACTGAAGCCCGCACTCTCTGGAGCCCACCTGCCACAACTAGAGAGTCCAGGCACTGCAGCAAAAGATCTTGCATGATCCAGCAAAGATCCGGGGTGCTGCATGCAGCCAAATAAATTAAAAAAAAAACCAACAGAAATCTGGCTTGAACTTGGAGCCCTTTATAAGCAAGAGAATTTGTATAGAATTTAATAACATAGTTTTATTTGTAGCAAAGTTATAGTTTCAGTTACCATCTATAAAATAAATCAATTTAAGTTTTAAAAAGTGAATTTTTAAACATTAAATAGTACAGATGGTACATATGGATATGGCAGAAATTATAAAGGTGGTACATAAATGACTAAAGTTTAGAAAACTGTGAATAAGATTATCTCTAGGATCTGTTCCAGGTTTAAATTCTTTTGAATATGTATTCCAGTAGAATAAAAATGTTTTATGGCGAACCAAGTAAAAGAAAAGAGCTTCCAACTTAGCATGTACTGTGTAATTTTCTTTCATTTTAAAATATGTCATTATTGAGGAGGCTAACATTTTATTCTATGACAGTTTTTTTCATTTATAAATATGAATACCCCTTTCTTAATATTTTACTGGGTAACTGAGTATTGATATGTTTTGGATAGCATGTTTGTTGGTGATGATGGTGTTGTGTTGTTCCTTTGTTTATTTGTTTCACCAAAAGCAGTCTGGTTCTGAGTGAGGTTTTTGAACTGGAAATCTTCAAAGTCAGTAACCATGTCATCACTCTATAGGCTGTACTCTGACTAGTACAGGGTTTGGCATAGTGTAGTATGCAGCAGCAGCAGTAGTCAGTAAATATTTGAACAAGTGAATGAATAAATAAGTCAATACAAATAAACTGAGTTCTGTGTCTTGAAGGTGCAAGCATAGTTTTCATTTCTGAAATGAATTAGTCAATAGAGCTAGCTATACGGAAATTAAGGCCTTGGGACAATTATTTATAGAAGGTAATGCTTTCTCTTGAGTGAAGTTTGGAGCTAGTTACATGAGAAATTTAGCATAACCTTTTCAGGAAGAAATTACAAAAAGAAAGTAGCTGTACTAATTTTGCTTTTGTTTATGGTCATATAGGAGAAGCTAGAATTTTCCTTTCTTTTTTCTCTTTGTTTATTATATTTCTACATTACTTTTTTTCTTTCTCATACATATACTACATATCATCTCCACGTTGGGACCCTAATTTTCCTTGCCTTAGGGAGATATTAGAGCTTAATTTAAAATACAGTTCACTGTTTCCCTAAACACTCTTAATTACAGTTTCTCATCTGATAAAGGTGCCCAGCTCTTTCTTAACTGGCATACTGGTGGTAAATTTGTTTATTCTAATTTATTCACTCAACATATATTATATGTCAAGGGTTTTGTTCTAAGACTCCTGAAATGAGTTTTACATATCAGTGAGAATATTAACCAGATATTTCTAATCCTTAGTTTTACAACTGACTTTCTAATAACCATGCAGTTGGTTTGAGTGACATACCCAGATCATGTAATTTATTTTAAAACACTTTTTCCATGTATAGAAAAGCAAAATTTAAGGACTGTGTTTCATTTTGGTGAATGTATTTCAAACATATTCTAGGTCTGCTCACTACAAGTACATTCTTTCTTTAATGGCCCAATGATTAACTGTGGTTCTAATTTATTATGCACAATGACATCTTAACTGGAGTTATTTTGTATGTTTAGGTTAATACGTTTTGTTACTGAAAATCTAAGTCAGTATATTTTATATTTGTGAAATCTTTCTGCCTAGTATATTCGTGTTTTCTAGTTATTATTAATACTATGTGATCTTTAAAATGTGGCATAAACTCTGAGGAGACTGGTTATAACATCTTGGTTTGTTCTCAATGCATTATAAAGTTGATAGAACAGCAGTAACAGTAATAGTACATAGAAGTTGAATTTCAAAAGTAATCATAATTTACAGCAGTTACTCTTTTCTAACTTGAAATTAAGATTATTCAGGTATACACTCAACACAGATTCTATTACGGTCACCATTGAAAATATAATAGGAAGAATTTTGGCCAGGCCAAAAAAGATTTTAGAACTATCTTATTTTGTTTCTTTAAGAGATGCTTGTCTTAAAATTATAATCTTTAGATATCTCTGGAGTCATTGTGCTCTGTCATGAAAGTATGCAAGAGCCATTTGCTATCATGACATGCTGGAAGTTTTGAGAACTCTTTTTCTAATTCAGAACAAACAATTATAGATTCCACATGTCAGCTGTATCATTTGATATTTGTCCTTCTCCATACAGCAGAAAGTAGCACAACATTGTAAGTCAACTGTACTGCAATACAAATTTTAAAAAGAAAAACAGTTATAAAAAACAGGACTTTGCCTAGGGGAACATGTCTACTGACAATATGGTTATTCTCTGATTAGATGCTTGGAGTGCTGGAAACCATCTTTATCTGGGTTATGAGGTATTGATATGGCAGCCCATTATGGTAGAAAAGAAAAGGCCACATACTTGAGAGGCAGACCAACCTGAATGTGAAATTCGGCTCTGTCACTTTTACTCTGGTACCTAGGGCAAGTTACTTAACTTCCTCTATAAAATAAAAATTATAATACTTTAGAGTTTCTGTGACAATAAAAGCACCCAGAGTGAGTTCTTGTCAAATGGTAGTTGTACACGCAATACAATGTGATGATCTGCTTTGATATTCCCTCAGGTGAAGTAAAGGACAAAAATGTACAGGTAGTCGAGCTCCCCATTGTGGACAGTCTTCATCCTCGTCCTCCGTATTTACCCCTGGCTGTACCAGAAGACCTTGCAGACCGACTTGTACGAGTCCATGGCGATCCTGCAGTGTGGTGGGTGTCCCAGTTTGTCAAATACTTGATCCGCCCACAGCCTTGGCTAGAAAAGGAAATAGAAGAGGCCACCAAGAAGCTAGGCTTCAAACATCCAGTTATTGGGTAAGAACCTGATTTGTTCCTCCTAAAGTGATATGTAGTAACAGGGGTGCATAACTTTACAGTATGAACGTTACAAGGTTTAGTATAATTTTCATAGCCACACCCCAAAACAGAGGTTCCAGTGTTCACCTTAGGCCCCAGGGAGATAGATCATTCTTCCTTTGCTAACTTAGAACAGCTGAGTCATCATATTTTAGTCACTTAATAATTTGTTCATTTATTCATTCAGCAAATATATTAAAACATATTTCTGAAATTAGCTGTCTCTCCTGGGGAAACGAGCAAAATTTTATTTTATTGGGAGTATTTTAGATACTATACATGCTTCCTGTCTTACTCTTAACAGGGCCATGAAATACATGCTTCCTGTCTTACTCTTAACGGGGCCATGAAATGGGGCGCTCACATTTATAGCTTTTCTTTTACACCTTATTCTTAGGTTTCTTTCGTTGCCACTGGTGATTATTTTGCATTTTTGATGTTCTGTTTTCTTTTTGTTTTGGAAGCCATTTTGAGAGTAAAGATTTCATTTGTAATGTAAGATAATGTTAAAATTGTTATTTAAAGTTGTCTCTTAGCCCACTTAATAGTTACCATGTATATATGTATTCAGTCTCATGCTTATGTTAAGGGAAATGTATCAGGAAATCCTGGAAGCAAAAAAAATCCAAAAGAACACCTTTGCTCACAAGTATGTGCTCTGTCCTATACCCATACATAAAAAGTTATGAATAAGGAGTTTTTCTGTGTCCTGATGCCAAATTTCACACCACAGGAAATGTTCTTTGGCTAAAGGAAAGAATATGAGAGTTAAGTGACCTTGGTAATACTCCTGCCTGTTCCCTAATTCTGGGTCAAGTTACTTAATAACAGTATTATTGAGCTTTGATTTTTTTTTTCCATTTGTAAAATAGGGAAGGTAATACCTCCCCTAAAAATGGTGATGTGATAATATAAGAATTAAAAAAGATTTTGGTTCAGTAGGGAAAAAATACACTGTAAAATGTTATTACCTTTCAGAGAGACTGATGCTTAAGTAATTCCTGAAAATAGATTTGTAGGCTAGACTATGGCATTCTGCAGCTTCTATTGTTTGTAATAATGTCAGCTATTGATTAATATTAATACATGTGTTGATTCATTCACTTATCTGCAGAACATTTATTGAATACCTGCTACTGTGAGGGACCAAGATTAATTTTTTTTAAATGACTCCTTTCAACTCATTACAGTCCATGGGAAAAGAGACTTAGCAACTAACATTATACTGGGAGAATGTGATTAATGCCCTGAGGAAAAGCATAAAAGTCTTATGAGAAGTCAGGGAAGGGGAAATGTACTTTCTGGACCAAGAATGCCTTCAGAACCACAGTGTTAGAACAGAATTTTCAAGGTGGAGAAAGATGCAGGATAGTAGTTACATTACCAAAATAACTTCAACTGCATTATCTCAGTGATCCTGTAACACAGTCCAGTGATGTAGGCAGAGATAACCATTTTACAAAAAATCTCTTTCCAAAGTTCCAGAGTTTATAAAGGCAAAACCAGGACTTAAAGCTTCTTAACTTTGTTTGGATAACCTGTAGTTTTACATAGCAGAAAGCTACCTTTATTAGTTTTTCATGGAGCATCCCCCACATTGAGAACTGGCCAAATACAGGAACTTGAAGTTCTGCAGACAACTCAGTTATTTGCACACTGAGGTAGTGTGCTGTCGGAAAGAGAGGTGCACTAGAATTCAAGAATCTAGGAGTCCAGACTAGTTTCTACCACTAGCAAGTTATGTGACTTTGGACAACTTACTTGGCCATTCTCGGCCTTCATTAATTGTCACTCGTTCTTTGTGTATTTAAAAAAAAAACAACAACACTGGGTTAGATAATAGGTTTCTATTAACACAATAATAGACTTGTGTGTGTACCCATCATTCATTCATTTGTTGTGTTTGGTGGAATTGGGAATAGATAAAATCAGATTCCTTGCCTTACAGGAGCTGTGATAATGAAAATCAGGCAAGTACAGAAATAGCTTTTACTTTACAAGACTGGGCTGAAATGCAAGTGAGAGAAACCAACATTCCTTTTTGCCTTATGTTGTCATTTTGTTCCCTGAAATGTCTTCAGAGGCATAAGTTTCTTTAACTGTTAGATGAAAGAGTTGCATTCTAATATCCTTCACAGATCTAACATTCTTTCATTAAAATCCATTTAATGTCCTCTCTCAAATTATTGGTCCAGGCCTAGTTTTAGGAAAGCTTGAAGAATTGAGAGAATTGCTTAGTAGTACTCTGCTCCTCTTCCTCTGATTGTTCCCTTTTGTTATAGATCTCCTTTGTTTTTGTTTTTAATTTCATATCTCCCATCCTATTTTTCCACTTGTGTCTTCATCTTCATATGTATATGTTATTGACCCATTCTAAATGGTACTGAAACAAATGCATGGTAAAAATCAGAATTTCAAGTAGTGTTTCTTCTTATGAAACTTCTCATTGAAATTCAGTGGAATTGTTCTTTCTGTCCCATTTCATCTCCGGAGCACAGTGAACAATTCCAAATTTCCTGAGAGAACCAGTGACTAAGAAGATTGTGAAAAGGAAAAGATGTGATACAATAGGTGCTCATAATGTAGTATTCACATCTGGACTATCATCTGAAATGCAAAGGAAAGAATAGCCATGAAGATGACAGAGTAACTCCAATGAAATTGAATCCTCACTCCAGATTCATAATAAATGGTTGGCCCTAGGCTTGACTTACTGTGAAAGTGTTAGTCACTCAGTCTTGTCTGATTTTTTGTGACCTCATGGACTATAGCCCGCCAGGCTCCTCTGTCCATGGAATTCTCGAGGCAAGAAAGCTGGAGTGGGTTGCCATTCTCTTCTCCAGGGGATCTTCCCAACCCAGGGATTGAATCTGGGTCTCCTGCATTGCAGGCAGATCCTTTACCATCTGAGCCACCAGGGAAGCCCAGGCTTGACTTAAGACTTGCTCATGTATTATGACCTAAAAGGAAACAAATCTACCTTGTTCTTTTCTTTTTATGAGCAGTGGTTTAGTAACTTGAGAAGAGAGGGGTTATAGAAAGGGCAAAAGTAAGGAGTGCTTTAACTTCTGAAAACGAACTATGATTACTATTATTCTTATTTTCATTAAAATACTGTTGAAAGTCGAGGCCTTATTCAGTGCAAGACAGTATAACTCTGTGTCCCCAGTTCTACAATTTCACAGTTTTTGAGCTTTTCTTAAATAGGACAGATGAGGTTAGTATCTGCTTATATTTGGTAGGGTAAAACAGCAGAGAAAGGAAATTCATTATACCTACAACAAAAAAAGGTTGGAATGGTTCCATGCACTTAAAGTAGTAAGAACTGTTAAAAGGTTTGCCTTGCCTTAATTGTGCTATAGGGACTATCCTTGCAGGTCTGTGTTTTCCTTAGCTTTAAACTCTACAAGCTGGTGTTATAGTGATGATACAGGGAAAAATGAAGAAAAAGAAAACTTGGCATCAAAACTTTACAAATGATATATTTAATGTTCTATAATAATAACTGTGAATCTTGGCATCCTTTATTGTCAAAAATATTAAAAATTATTTCTAGTTTTTTGGTTGGTATTTGCTGGCTTATGTACAGTCTAACTCTAGAAACTCCCATTTACTTCTGATTTGCCAATTACTTTCTCTTTAAAGCATTTTTCAAAGACTTATTTTCTAATCCCCCTTGTATTAATATGCAAATATATTTAGAATACGTGTGTTTGAATTTTTTAATATTGGTTTTATTTTTTCTAATGTTGAAAATGAAAGAAAAATTGGTTTAATTGTACATAAATGGGGAAACCAGAATTGAAAAAGACACATGTACCCTTGTTCATTGCAGCACTATTTACAATAGCTAGGACATGGAAGCAACCTAAATGTCCACCCACAGAATAAGAAAGTTGTGGTGCAAATATACAGTGGAATATTACTCAGCTATAAAAAGGAACACATTTGAGTCAGTTGTAATGAGGTGAATGAACCTAGAGCCTACTATACAGAGTGAAATAAGTCAGACAAATGCTGTATATTAACACATATATATGGAATCTAGAAAGGCGGTACTGACGATCCTACATGCAGGGCAGCAAAGGAGACACAGACATAAAGGACAGACTTTTGGACTCAGTGGGAGGAGAGGGTGGGATGATTTGAAAGAATAGCATTGAAACATTTTCATTGCCAGGTGTAAAATAGATAACCAGTGCAAGTTTGATGTATGACACAGGGCACCCAAAGCCAGTGCTCTGTGACAACCTGGAGGGATAGGGTGGGAAGGGATGTGAGAGAAGGGCTGATTTATATTGATGTATGGCAAAAACCATCACAATATTGTAAAGCAATTATCTTCCAATTAAAATAAGTAAATTTTTTAAAAAAGAAAAGGAAATGTCCATAATACCACCATGAATGGAGGTATAAAGCTTGAATACCCTAAAAGTCCTCTGTGGATCAGAGCATTTTCAGTAGACTCTAACTTTCTCTCTCTGTCCCTGCAGAGTCCACGTCAGACGCACAGACAAAGTGGGAACTGAAGCAGCCTTCCACCCCATTGAGGAATACATGGTGCACGTTGAAGAACATTTTCAGCTTCTTGCTCGCAGAATGCAAGTGGATAAAAAAAGAGTATATTTGGCCACAGATGACCCTTCTTTATTAAAGGAGGCAAAAACAAAGTAAGTTAGATGAACTAATGATTCTCTAGTGGACCATCTCTTCTCAGTCAAAATGAATCCTTAATTCCCATGACTGGTGATTCTTGTTACATTGAATGTTATTACTGATTATTGGGAGTTTTAAATTCAAAACAACTGTGTGCTCGTGCAACTCTTATTATGATCAAAGCATAGTTGTGGTGCCAGCAAGATGTAGACTTCATTCTGAAACCCCTTCTCTTAACTTGTAGGCAACAGTCATCTTGTAATATACTCACACGACCTTTATGTGCTTGGAAGACAGAGGGCAAGCTTTCTGGTGTCTTGTAAGGACACTCATTCCATCATGAGGGCTTCACACTAAGGATTTCCCAAAGGCCCCATCTCCAAATATTATCACATTGGGAGTTAGGGCTTACACATGTGAATTCTGAGGGGACACAAACATTCAGTCCATAACACTAACCAATTCACAAGACTGTTAAAAATGAAACACACTGCGTACTTGTCCCTTTGCTCTTACAGAATCGAAGGCAACTGAAGCCATGTGTAAGATATAAGTTTTCACCTTGTAAAAACGTCTGGAATTTGGAGATTATATTTTTTTAAAAGACAGAGAATCAAAAGAGGGGTTTTGTCAGTGAAAGAATCAGGACTGCTAGCTTGTACTGAGCAACACCATCATTACTGAGCCCGCCCGCCTGTATTTCAGGCACTGTGCTAGGTGCTGGGAAGTCCCTGATACGCAAGACACTCTCTGCTCTCAAGGAATTCCTAATCTCGTAGGGGAACGGACAATATGAGGAGTGCTTTTGTTGTTGTTCAGTCACTGAGTTGTGTCCGACTCTTTGTGACCCTGTGGACTGCAGCACACCAGGCTTCCATATCCTTCACTGTCTCCTAGAGCTTGCTCAAACTCATGTCCATTGAGTTGGTGATTCCATCCAGCTATCTCATCCTCTGTCATCCCCTCTCCTCCTACCCTCAGTGTTTCCTAGCATGAGGGTGTTTTCCAGTGGGTTGGCTGTTTGCATCAGGTGGCCAAAGTATTGGAGCTTCAGATTCAGCATCAATCCTTCCAATGAATAATCAAGGTTGATTTCCTTTAGAATTGACTGGTTTGGTTTCCTTGCAGTTCAGTAATACCATCTACTCCAGAAATCATCCCTGAACCCTTGACTAAATGTTCCTCCCCTAAGTACATTTATCTTAATATTTAGCACTTGCTTATTTCTGGTTCCCTCACATTAAAAGCACTTTGAAACTATACCTGGTTCTAGTAAGTGTTCAGTAAGTACTGAGTTACATTCATTTCAGTCCAGTCAGTTTGAAAACATTTTATTAGCAGTTAGCCATTTGACCTATTTGACTTTTAATTAATTTGTTTCTCAATCCTTTTTATGTCACAAAGAAAAACAAATGTTGGGAAGAAAAACAAATCTGGAATGAATACTATAATTCTAGTATTTATCCAAATCACTGGATAATCCTTAAAACCCTATTTCTACCTCGTAAGAATGCAAATTAACCTGATATAAATTGTTTTTTCTTTAAGGCTCCCTCTATGGATTATACACACAGACACACACTCTCTCTCTCTCTCACACACATATACACACATACAAGCCAAAGGGCCAAGAAATTCATCAGCCAAATATAAGCCAAGTTATATATTATACTTATAATTCTTATATAAGTGTTAGGGATTAAATGAAGACTTGGACACAAAACATAAGAAAAAAATTCCACAGGTGCTCTTCCAGTTTGATATGCAGACCTATTAGAAACAAAGCAGAAATAGCTCATCTTAGTCCTTCATTTTAAAATACCTGACTGAATTTGTAGCTTAGTTGAAAAAATATTAAAATATTACTTTATTTAGTCTTCTACTTGTTCTTGAATGCATCATAAATTTTCCCCTTGATTAACAAAATAGTTCATGCTCATTAGAAAATATAGAGTTGGTGAGTATACAAACAAGGAAAAAATATTACTCATAATCTCATTACTCAGTAGGTAACAACTATTTAAATATCAACATATTTCCTTCAGATATTTATATAGTTATACATTTTAATAGTTGATCATATTCTATATAATTTGAACTCTTCTTTTTCTTAATACAGCAATAGATCCCTTTTCACAGGTTGCTAGAAAAAAAGTCATTGTCAGTCTCTCTCTTTTTTTTTTTTAGTGATTAAATATCCAGTGAATGGAAGTACCATTGCTTACTTGACCATTCTTCTAATATTTGACAGGTTATTTACAGTGCTGTGAGGTGTGCCTAAAATTATCCGTATTATTTCCTTAATCTAGATTTCTGGGCTTGAAAGTATTTAGATAAAAGAATATGAGCATGTTACATCTGTGATCCATAGCACAGCATGATATTCTTACACCACACAATCCTTATAGTACAGTTGGCAGTAGTATCTACTTGGATTGTGGGAATAGAAAAACTTGATTTTTTTTTTTTTTGGTCAATAGCTAGTAACTCCTCTCCCCATGATCGTTCAGGCAGCATTTTCCTCCATATTCCTGTTATAAATGTAGCAATTGCATTTTATGCATATTAGTTCCTCTTTGGAAATCCTTTGGTTTTTCTGAGTCAATTAAAGATTTTCTCAGGAATTTAAATGCTATGTCTCGCCTTCATTATTTTACTTAGACGTTTTTTTCCACTCTGAATTAATTCTGCTTTTGACCTCTCATGACTGGTTTTGATCCTAAACAAGTCATAAAACCTCTGTTATTGTTTCAGAAGACCAAAAACATGAATTAATTTCTCAACAAGATATACAGTATCCAAGGTGATTGTAAGACTTTTCTGCTTCAGGAGGTTGAAGAGTGATGCAAAGGATGCAAAAGAGTGATGCAAACTTAAGTGATGCATAGGATTCATACAGAGGAGAAACCTTTTTTCTGAGTAACTTATTCTTTGTAAAAGGGGTAAAGATTAGTTTGTGTCTGTGACTCCAGTAGTTAGTGCTTTGTTGCTTAGTATTACACCTCAGGTTTTGCTTTCGTTCATGAGATTTTAGCACCAGCATCCCAGTGACCATGACAGCTATTGCTAACATGGAGATCTCCTCAGGTAATTCAGCATTAGAGTGTTTAAATCTAAAAATCTTTGGCAGTCAAAGAAATAAGAACTATTAAAATTGTCTATCCAATATTGTATTCTGAGATAATGAAGATTGAGGGTAGGAGTGAAACAGGAAACAAAAACAAGCTATTAAAAATCTCTCAGATTAAATATTTACATATTTATTTTGCTCTTTGTGAAAAATGCTGGATGAGCTCTTCCTAAAATTAAGTTTATTTAAATGAATAGAAGCAAGAGAAATCTGTTAAAAAGGTTTTCTAAAGCATTTGCCATATCAAATGAAGAATCAGCCATTGTGGTAAATGTCTTCACTATTTTATCGAACTACATACAATTTGCTAGACACAGTTACAGGGCATTCATTTCAGTGCAGTTCAGTCACTCAGTCATGTCCGACTGTTTGCACCCATGGACTGCAGCATGCCAGGCTTACCTGTCCATCACCAACTCCCAGAGCTTGCTCAAACTCATGTCCATCGAGTTGGTGATGCCATCCAACCATCTCATCCTCTGTTGTCCCCTTCTCCTCCTTCCCAGCATCAAGGTCTTTTCCTGTGAGTCAGTTCTTCACATCAGGTGGCCAAAGTATTGGAGTTTCAGCTTCAGCATCAGTCCTTCCCGTGCATATTCAGTACTGATTTCCTTTAGGATGGACTGGTTGGATCTCCTTGCAGTCCAAAGGACTCTCAAGAGTCTTCTCCAACACCACGGTTCAAAAGGATCAGTTCTTTGGCGCTCAGCTTTCTTTATAGTCCAACTCTCGTATCTGTATATGACTACTGGAACAACCATAGCTTTGACTAGACAGACCTTTGTCAGCAAAGTAATGTCTATGCTTTTTAATATGCTGTCTAAGATGGTCATAGCTTTTCTTCCAAGGAGTAAGCGTCTTTTAATTTCATGGCTGCAGTCACCATCCACAGTGATTTTGGAGCCCAGGAAAATAAAATCTATCACTGTTTCCACTGTTTCCCCACCTGTTTTCCATGAAGTGATGGGACCGATGCCATGATCTTCATTTTTCTGAATGTTGAGTTTTAAGCCAGCTTTTTCACTTGCATCAAGAGGCTCTTTAGTTCCTCTTCACTTTCTGCCATAAGGGTGGTGTCATCTGCATATCTGAGGTTATTGATATTTTTCCCGGAAATCTTGATTCCACTTTGCACCTTCATCCAGCCTGGCATTTCTCACATTAGAAATACACAAAGAAACCAAAAATAATATGTGGCTCCTCCTCTCAGTGAGTATCTCTCTGACTGATAGGCAGTATACATGTAACCATTAATCACAGTGTCATCATATCAGTACTTGTCCTGAAGGAGTTGTATGCTAGGTAATGAAGCCAAGAGGGGTCTTTCCCTCAATCTGAAGAAAGAATTCACAAAAGAAAATGTGATACTGTTTTTAATTTCAAGTTAGTTCTTTGTGGGTGATACAAAAAAAATATTTTTGCAACATGGAAGAAGAAAAGATACTTTTTAAAATCATTGCCAGCCTCTGCAACCTCACACTGGAAGACCTCTTCTGCTGCGTACTTGTGGGCATAAGACAAGAAGGAAGTATGTTTGTGTGGAGTTTTCCATGCTCATTGTTGGAAGTACAGAATCTCCTTCCTTCATTACTTCCATTGTTTCTGTTTTTTTCAACACTTAGTATCCTTCATCAAGCTCTTTTGCATGTAGAGATAAGGCCTGAGGAACTTAGGTGCTCTTTTGGTTTGGTGCCAGGAAGAGGCCTTTAAGTTCGGAAGGCCATAATGCTAGTGTCACTTCTCAGAAAAAGGATCACTCTGTTCCACTGAGTACCTATACCATGCTGACAGAGTTAGTCTTTACTCTAGGATACAGCCTGCACTGGTGTGTTTTAACAATTTTCCTCCTCCTTCACCCTCCAGCCTTTTCATATTTATTTGTTT